AACTTCTCACCCCTCATTGTCCTTCACACACTCTGCTCTTCCAACACTCATCTTCTTCTCACTCCCAGGTCTCGATCCTGCACAACAGGAGACCAGGCTTTCTCCTGCGCTGCCCCTCGGCTGTTGAACGCCCTGCCTTCATATCTGAGGGCTCCACAGACCGTGACATGTTTTAAAAAGGGTCTTAAAACCTTTCTTTTTACCCAGTTTTTTAATTCATTTTACTGTACTTTTTTTTAAATTCACCCATAGTTCCTTTTTGATTATTTCATCAGCATTTTGTGCATTTTAAGTTTTTTTTTATGTGTTCATTCTGAGGCGTTATCCTCCTGGTTGTTTTGCTCTCGGTTGCTTTTATGGTTGCTTTTATCCTGCTGCTATCTGATGTTCACTTTTTGTGACACTTTGAGATTCACTGTGAATGTGAAGTGCATTATAAATAAAAGTTATTATTATTATTATTTATTACAAAATCCACTGTATAAACAGTCATATTAATTAACATGAAACACCCAGACACACCAAAAAAAATAACAATATAATTTATATTTGATTATATTTTGAATACATTGTATCAAGTAAAGACCTACCACATGGGCTGTCATGCAACTAGGAAGCTGAAATTCACCAAGCAACTTCATCTATAGGAGCTTAAAAGACCTTGTAAATTTCAAGCATTTACCTTATTGTAGCGGGACGTTGTTAGTTTTTTTTAATTTGAAGGTCAATTTTTATTTTTTTAGCTGCCTAAAATGTATTGCATACACACCAAATTGTAATCAAAATTCCAACAAGAAAAAAAGGCTGATGATTTCCTGTATGTTTCACAAAGATTTGTTCAGTGGTTCAAGTGATAATTTTTAAAAGGTACAAAGATTTATTTGGCTTAAGCTGAACATTTAGGACTGACGTGCACCAAACTTTTACCTGTTCTAGAAGCAAATGATATGATGATTTCCTAAAACCCATGTTGTTCATTTGAACTGAAACTAATTGAGCCCCATAGGCAGAGTCCCATTCACCAGACACTTGCTGATGACCCCCTCTCCCAGGCCTGGCTCCAGAGTGGGATCCCAGTAATCCACATTCAGCAATCTCCTTGATTTTGTCTGTCCAAACAATTTTTTTTTACCACAGTTGTTGATCATTTGAACAAATAAATTATTTGGATGTTTGCTAAGAAATAAATTAGCATTGGTAGCAATACAATGGCACAACTGGTAAGGCTGCTACCTCTCAGTGAGCAGGCTACCCTAGTTTAAATCCTCATCCAGGGGCCTTTCTGGGTGGAGTTTGCATGTTCACTCCATGCATGTGTGGGTTTTATCTGGGTACTCCGGTTTCTTCCCACAGACTAAAAACACGTATGTTATGCTAATTGGTAACAATTATTATCCCTGTTAGTGAGTGAGTGAATGGTTGTTTGTCTTGTTTGTCTCTATGTGGCCCTATGATGGGCTTGTGACCTGTCCAGGGTGTATCCCGCCTCTTGCACAGAGATTGCTGTTTATAGGCACCAGCAACCCCACGACCCATAATGGAAGACACGAGTAAAAGATAATGGATGGATAAAATAAATTGCCAGTGGTGTCCTGAAGTAGGTCAGCTACTGTTAGACTGACTGACTGTGGGCTGGAGAGGAAGTCAGAGGCATTGATGCTATGAATATATCAGATGGTCTGTACACAATCAGTGTTGGATTTGGACTTGTGCAATTATTTATAGATTAAAACCCTTGTGAATAAATTTACTAGCTAAATAAAAGAAATAATTAACTTTAAAAATATATACTATGATGAAGTCCAAATGCCAATGGTCAATATATTCATTCAATTGTCTAACTCTGTTCTGCTATTTTTCTCATGAAATAAATTTGACAGCTTAAATTTATCAAAATGTAGTGGGACATAAGTGATAATGTACTGTGCATCACCACTGTCATATTTTTTATTTATATTTCTTGTTAGTTTCTTTTACTGTGTTGTAGTCCAGGTTCTCAAATGGTAAACCTAATAATGAGGTTACCTTGGTAATTAAGGCACAATTTTGTGAGAAAAGGGACTAGATGAATAAGCAAGATAAGAAACTACCCCATGACATTCCTTTAATTTAGACCATACACAATATTCCACTGGACATATATCTTTTTTGTTTGAATGTAATTTAATTTAATTGGCTTTTTTGTGGTGCTATATAAAATTTTATCAAGGTCAAGTTGTCTTTTTTGTCATTTTTGTCATTCATTTATGGTTTTGTTATTGTTTTAAACATTTTCTTTTAGATATTTAATACATAGACAACAGCTGATTTTTCATTGTACTCATAAAGAATTAAAGCAACTATAAATCACCTGTAAAATTTGTATTTGGAATAAATTAGTAATTGGATATTCTAATGTTAATGACATACAGCAAATGCATATTGATCAATTCAAGGAGTTCAGTTAATTTACTTTTTGTAGCATAATTACTTAAATGCACATTGCTATACAGACCATGATAGGTGGAGATATGGAAATAGGAATATATTTTAATAAACTGTAAGCAAACAAGTCCAAAAAGTTAATGTAAATCACAAGAATATTTAGTATACAATGCTTTTGACATGTTAAAATAGTATTTGAAAATATAGTGCTGCTAATCTGCTGACACTAAGATTATAACTTTCAAAAGACAATATTTTTTATCAGTTTTTTAGAACAGTTTTAATTTTTGCTTAATCCATGTGCCCATTCATTTGTTTAAATTTTTTACATCAGGCAAAACATGGGCTACTATGTGGTCCTACTTATAGTTTAAGTTTCTATTTTATGATTCTTTATCATCAGGCATTACATAGGCCACCTATGAAGTTTAATGCAGTTCTACACACTCCCACTAGGGACAACATTGAGGTATACACAGATTTTGTGGGGAGGCGAGGGGCGAAACCATACACATACACAAAAAAACCTATTTTAGTGACTTTTTGGGACGTTTGAGATTTTTGGATTAAAATACATTTTGGAGCGTGCTGAATGCGATTATAAGGTTCTCTAATTGGGGACCGTGGTTTTGGTCCCCACTTGCCAAGGTGTCCCCAAATGACTGGTGTGTAAACGTGTTCACGACCCCAAATATAACATAAGCAAACGCACACACACACACACACACACACACACACACACACACACACACACAC